AGGTGCGGGCCGGCAGTCCATGGCCAATGTCCTTGTATTCTTGCAATGGGAGGCATTCCCCTCTCAGCGGCATCTCATAGCGTTGTCCTGAATGACCAAGTAAATGAAGGCCTTGCCTAACGTCATCATGACTTGATCGTATGCTTCAAGAACCTCAACATCTCCGGGTGAGTTCTCGATCAAGCTTGACTGAAGCGGAGCCCCCGATCCATGGTCTTCGGATCAAAACGCGGGTCGTTAACGATGGCCGATGATTCGCCATTACGGTTGTATGTACCGTGAGTCTAACATTTGACTGTAAGCTTCTTGAACATGCATTCTTGAAAGACCGATACGTTGTGTTTCGCGTTTGTATACAGAGTTTACAGACAAATAATTATCAAGCAGGAAGGCACTGTAGTCGGCAAGCACGCGGTAAACAAAGAGACAAAACGGCAAGAACAGAGGAGTGTTTCGCGATTGGTTTATCTCGCGGCCTTTTAACGATGGCGACGGCGGAGAGAGAGAGGAGGGGGGGGCTTACCCACAAGCTCTCCTTTCATGACTTGATATAGATTTAGATAGATCACTGCTGCAGTCATACTTTGCGGTTGTGCTGTGTATTCTCCATACGATTCATACCCATCACGATGCGATGGAGGACGCGTGACGGAGTATTCGCAGCACACATGCGCACGAGGGCGAAAAAGGCAGAACCAGGGGCGAATGGTACGACTATCAATCCACCGCGGTTCTATTTTCCGGAGTATTCGAGGTACCCTCGTATCATCCATATGGTCGTGTGGACGACACGGCATGTAGTTGGAGCGTCTGGTAGTATCCGGGTGCCTGGAGAGCAAGCCATACCCGCTACACAGGCTGGTTTCTCCTGTCCGAGATGTTTAGACTGGCGTCCTGACTGGTCGGCTGGGGGGATTCGTTCTACATGCTGACACCCTTGACCTGCGAACTTTGGTGCAGTGAACTCATTCACATCTTCCCCTAGGCCGGCATGATTTCACCAGGCGTCATCATGACGGGTTTGGCTGTGAGGGTCGCCTGGTTTGACTACATAGCAAGAACGTGGCATTACACCGCAAGACCAAGCCTGCCACGGCTACACACATTCAACACTTTCAAGACTGACTCAATTGCACCTTCTCGGATGACCACTGCCATCCAACTGACTAGAACGATCATGCTGGCCTAGACATAACATCTCATACGGCACACTCAACCTAGCTCCTCACCCCCGGTCCAAGTGACTGCTCAACCTCCTGTAAATGCATGCGCTCCAATGCCCACCCTTACCCAGCTTGACATCCCAAATGCTACCCAACGCCGTGCATGGCCACCAAAAAGGAAAAAAGAAAAAAAAGGAAACCGCACCCGGACGAGGAAGGGGGTGCTCGTACTACGTCATCCACTCCGAACGTAAAACATCATCATCAACGGCCCTCCCTTCTTCCTCTGAGCTCCCCAGCCCGTCTACCAGTCAATCCCACAGGCCCACGCCTCGGCTCACTTCTGCGCTTCGAACATGCCCAATCTCCTTCGTATCGGGCTGCGCCCATGTGCTCTCATATGGCTCGACGTCTGACACGGTCTCGTCACTCCCGCCCGCCTCGGACCAGCTCTGCACTTCCGACGTCTCGACCTCCTCGGTGGGCGACCGCTGACGCCCGGGCGGTGTCGGTGCCGTTCCAAAGTCGAAGCTCTTCTCCAAGGCCCGATCGTTTCGGACCTCACCCGCCGCCGCAGACCGCAGCAATGCCGTGTTGAAGTAGCTCTGGCTCTTTGCTGAGCGCTTGAGCCTGGGTTTGCGCACGAGCACGGGGGATGTGCTGCCGCCGCCGCCGTGCCGCGCGCGCATCTCGAGCCGCTCCTCCTCCTCCGTCTCTTCGTCCGTGAGGACGTTTTCTAGCATCATGCGACGGTGGTGCGCCAGGAGCTGGAGGCTGCCGCCCGAGGACCGGCGTTGGCGAGGGGTTTTTTGAGCGACGCCCGTACCCACGTCGAGAGACAGCGTCTGACTGTCGCCCTGACGGGTAGGGGCCGCGTGGCAAGGCCAAGGAGGGGGCACGACCAGGCCGGTGGCGAGGCGGCGCAGGTCGACCTGGCTGGCGGAGAAGACAACGCGGGCTCGCAGACGGTGGACGGCATGATCGAGGCCCAGCTCAATGGCACATCGGTCTCTTATCCTGCTGAGCTTTGGCCACGTAGCGCGCTCGCCGAGAAGGCAGACGCGCGTCATAAAGTCGCTGGTAGGGTTGCTGAGAAGGCCGGGCAGCTCATTCATGCTAATCTCGGGAAGAATATTGATGTCGCCCGAGTACTTCTGGCTGAGGACGCTTCGAAGCTTGGTGGCGAGGTTGGGAAAGAAACCAATCTCGGCAAGGAACTGCAGCCTGTGCAGAGCCTCGTCTTTGGCGAGCGCGGTCATGGTATAGACCCAGTCGGCACCGTCTTTGGCGGCTGTGGATGTGGCCGCATTGTTGGCCTGACGGCGGAGGTGCGGCGTCGTGGGATCGAGCCGATCGTCTTTGGCGAGGAAAGGAACGACATGCGGATTGACCTGGGAGACGATAAAGTGATTGACGTTGAACATCTCGGCGAGGCGCGTCATGGGCAAGTCGTTATCGACGGAGCCGTCGATCCATCTCTGCGGTGTCGGGTTCCAGGGCATGTGCGCACCCGTGTCGGGAACCTTGACGAGCAAGGGAGCGGCACTGAAGACCAGCGGCACGGAGCATGAGGCGGCGACGGCAGACCAGATCATGACGTTGGGAGCCGTGACATAGTTGAGCAGGCGCGGCAGTTCGTAAACGGACTCGGTGGACACGCAAATGTTGAGGATGCGCCGCGTACGGTTGTAGGCTTCCTGGAAGGTCATGTCGCCGAGCAAGTCGCGCATGACGCGGGTGAGATGAGAGATGTCTGACCAACTGCCCTCGGTCAGGAGCCTGCGGATGTGATCGAGAACGGTGTCGGGCTTCTCGAGACCATCAAAGACGTTGAGATCGCCGTAGGGGAAGGCTCGGATGACGTCGGGAATCTCCTCATCCGTTCGTGTGCACATGACGGCACACACAATGGAGCCGGCCGAGGCGCCAGAGATGATGCGCGGCAGCAGCTTCACCTCGAACAGGGCCTTGAGCACGCCGATGTGCGCCATGCCAAAGGTAGCCCCGCCGCTGAGCAGGAGAGCGCTACGGCCGAAACTCTGGCGCGCGAGCAAGACGTTCTCGAGGATGTCGCGCTGCGAGAGGCCGTCAGGGAGCGCGCGGTGGCTCATGTCGACGAGGGCCTCGATGGTCTGCAAGGCGGAGGCGACGTAGCGCTCGATCAGGTGCTTTGTGCCGACGTACGAGTGTCGGTAGAGGTCGAGGTTGCCCATGCCGCCGAGATCGCGGGCGAGGGCAGTGCGCACGAGGTAAAGCATGGCACGCACATCGCAGTGGAGGCGGGCGTCGTCGAGATCCTTGAGGCGGGCCTCGATCAGCTGGGGGTTGTAGTCGGGCGTCGAAGGGTCGAGTTGCAGCTTCCACTGGTCGTTGCGCTCAAGCAGGTCGAGTTCCTCGGCGGCATCCTGCCATTGGGTTCTGGACTCTGCGTTCTGCATGCGCAAGCCGAGGATCTGGCGACGCTCCTCGACTTTGGTCCGGTGTGCGCGCTCTTGGTGCGTCAAGCCATCTCGCCATGACTGCACGTAGGCGTTTGCGGATTTCAAGGCACGCGAGAGGGTGTCGAGGGCGAGGTGCTCGGGTGGTTGTCTGGGGGCGGCCGCGTGCTTCTTCCCACGGAGGGCAGGGTTATTTGTTGTAGGGTGGACATGGTTCAGCAAGACGTCCGTCATGGTCGAGGAGGGTGCTGCAGAGAACGAGGGCGAAGGCGCGAGCAACGGGACGAGGTTGCGACGTGGCTCAGAAGCAGTCCCATCCCCAGAGGCGTGCAGCGAAGGATGTTGGAGGGGCCGAGGTTGGGAGTCAAGGACGTGTCTGATGGCAGGCGGTAGGATTGTCGGGATGCTCGTGAGGAGAGGAGGGGAGAAAATACTTGGATGAATTACTGGAGGCACGATACGTGAAGTGGAATATTCAGGCAGGAAGGACAGATGGTGGTCAGATCAGGTGAAGGGCAGGAGGGGCTGACTTTGCGGTACGGCAGGCAGGTAGGTACCTTCAACCTAAGCGAAGCACATGTCATGAGGCCGCGAGAGATGTCGGTGTGCACGGAGCTGAGGCCGCGGGCGGACAGGCGAGTCCTGTAAGGGGTCGGGGCAGGTGAACATGACCTCGCGCTTGCCTTCTGCGGGTCACCAGGCAAAGGCAGGAAAGACAGGGAAGACAGGGAAGCCAGGGAGGCCAGGCAAGGCACATCGTTGCTGCTGTGCGACCCCTCCAAAGCACCCCACAGGGCATCTGCCCACCCCGTCCGAGCCGGCATTCCAGGCCAGATGACCCCCAGGTTTTCGTCTCGCTCAGCCAATGGGCCACCTCTGCTGCTTTTCTAGTCATGTTCATCCCAGCGACCCGACTGCCTGCTCAGTGCATCTGGTGCCTCCAACGCACCCCCCAGTGGTTCGGCTGCCCCACGCTCTGGGAACTCCCCCCCACACACGACGAGCCCGATGATCGCTGATCGCTGGTCGCTGACGTGTGGCATTTTGCATCTGGCAGCTGAATGTGCCGAGACCTGTTTGCGTCAGTCTGGAGCTGCCGGCCGGTGAGGTACAGTCATCCCGGTCGATGACAAGGTCACCAGAACGCACCAAAGATGCGATGCTACGCGGATTGGGGTCCTTGGGTTTCCCCGTCACTGAACCTGACATGTTTGGCGATTCTTGACATGATGCTGATATATTCGTGCATCATCCGCCAATGCATTGAAGCTCCTCACAACGTGTACTGCTGCACCTGCATCATCCTCCCAGCCACACATGGTCATCCTCATTACTCATAGATATCGCTGCCTCCCTCCGAGGGTTCAGCTGGTCATGCTGCCTTAGAACACAACACACGTTATGCCGCCTTCAGCAGCCCCCGCGCAAACTCGTCCACCGCCCCGACCAGCGCAGACAGCGTGCCTTCCTCCTGCCAAGTGTGCCCCGCCCCCGTGACCTCGACGCCGCGAAACTTCGACCCCGGCCTTGCGTCGAGCCTCGCGCCCCACGCCCGCAGCTTGCCGATGGCGACGAAGCCGTCTCGGTCCCCGAACACGGCGAGCGTCGGGCACGTCGCGAGCTTGGCCTCGGCCGCCTCCCCGGCGTCTTCGATCCAGTTGACGTCCCCCGCCGGCGACGCCGACGGCACCCGCGCCGGCTCGTGGCCGCGGTGCCGCGCCCAGGGCGGCACGAACGACATGGTCGTCAGGTGGTTGACGATGCCCTGCAGCGGCGACACGAGCGCGTACGCCGGCCTGACGCTCGTCAGGTCGGCGATCCTCGGCAGCAGGACCGCCTGCTCGTCGCTGCTGTGGCTGTGGCTGTGACTGTGGCTGTGCCCATGCTGATGCTCACGCCCCGCGTGGTGCTTCCTGGGACTGCCGGCCTCGTCGCCGCCGACCGCAGCGGCCTCGACGCTCCGCTGGCGGCTGTGGCTGCGGCTCCGCCTCGCCCTCGTCTTGGCGAGCAGCTCGCTGACGCCGCGCCGCAGCTTGTCCTCGGTGTGGTGGGGCGAGTGCGACCGCCGGTGGTGCTCGCCGCTGCGTCGCTGGTCGCCCTCGTCGCCGCCGACGCGCAGCGCGCGCCGCGTCGGCGGCATGGCGTTGCGCGACGCCCGCGCCTCGGCGAGGAAGCTGTTCTGCTGCGCCGCCAGGTGCTCGGCGCGCAGCCGAATGTCGGCGGCGGCCGAGATGGCCGGGGGCGCGGCGAAGCGTGACAGGATCTGCGGCAGCGGCGGCAGCTGCGAGGTCACCATGGCGCCGTACGAGTAGCCGGCCGCCAGCAGGATGGGCTGGTCGCGTTCGTCCCGCGAACTGAGGTCGGGCGCTGGCGAGCTTGTCGGGGGGGAGGATGCGTCGGGTGCGGGTCGGTAGGGGTCGAGGAAGTGGATGTAGTGCACCATGAAGCCGATGAAGGACATGTAGTCGTTTCGCTCGGCCTTGGCCGTCCACGATGTCCGGCCTGCCGAGTGGCCGGCACCTCTGCGCAGCACCGAGCATGAGCATGGGCCAAGGGTGGAACGGTAACAGAAGGAGACTCTCGGAGGGGATGGGAGCTCACCGGAAATTGAACGTGCCCACGAGATAGCCGGCGCGAAGGAGCGCTTCCGCGACAGAGTCAACGATAGGATCGTCGTATGATCCGCCCATGGGCGCGTACGGGTGCGCAACGATGGCGGCATGTCGTCGCCAGGGCGGGGCGTTGGGAACGGGGCTCAGCGCATGGCTGTGGTAAACGCGGCAGTCGAGGACCGTGTCGTCGTGGATGCTGGGGAGCGTGAAGTTCAACGTGGGCTCTGGGAGCATTGTGCGATCTTCTTCATACTGGTGCTCTCAGTGTTGGTGGGGATGGGACGTGTGGGCAGCAATGCGTGGCGGGGTTGGGCGTGTCGACAGAAACAGAGGCGGGAAGCACGGGGAGAGCAGATGCCTGTTGTGACCTGATCTTCCAAGTCGAGGGCCAGGGAGGTAGAAACTCGGGGGGCGAAGCGGCGAGGTGCAGGAGGTCGAGGTCCGGCTGTGATCCAATGGCTCACTATAGGGAGGAAAGCAGTGCAAGCGCGGGTGCGGGCGGGTGAGGGATGATAACGATAAGCCAGGTGGGTTGAAAGGTGGGATGACGAGGTTTGGCTCTGGCGGCGCAGGTGACGCTGTGCTGCACTTTTTGGAGGGGGGCTGCAGAGAAAAGCAAACACAGGGGTGTGCACTGCCCTGAAGCTCCCCGGCATCCGGGTGCTCTAGCTGTCTACCTAGGTTGGCCCCTTGCACTGGAGCCCGACGGTGCCGCCCGCAGACGACGCAAACGAAGACAGCTCGCCGCCCGACCCGAGGCAGGAGAGAAGGGATCCACGGGATCGACGGCAGCTGTGGGCTGGCGCTCTGGCACTGGCCTCGATGCCGCGCCTAAGAACATCCACAGACGTCACTTGTCCCGCCGCTGTCTAGGTACCTAGGTAGGCAATTGGGTGCCCAGGTACTGAGGTCAGGTGCTGGGTCGGTCCGGTACTGAGCTCAGGTACCTGGCTGGGTACGTCAGTCTGCTCCCTGTTCCTGGTAGGAGACCCCACTGTCGCCACTGTCGAGAGCCCCTACCCTGGCCTGCCACCAAGCGCCAGGGTCCGGTCCTGTGGTTGCTACTCGGTACTGACATGCTGCAATGCGAATCAAGGCGACGACAACGATTGGATGAGTTGGATCATGTCGTATTCTTCGGGATACTCGTTTCTATTCTCGCTTCTCTTTTTTGTCTCTTTCTTTTTTTTCTTTTCTCGTCTTGCTTGTTTACTGGGCCTTCTTCTTGGCCTCGGCCTCGGCCCTCTCGCGTCTCCTCTTCTTCCACGCCTTCAGCTCGTTCAGCAGGCCCATGATCAACGGAACACCTACTGGCCCCAGCAGAGGTAGGTACACCGCAATCTTGTGTTCGTCGGGAAAGTACAGCTGCCCGACCATGCTCTTCTCGAAGAACGCCCGCTCCGCCTCGGCCTCGGCGATGCGCGCATGCTCCAGCCCTTCGAGGCCGCCGAGGCTCGCACACGCCAGCTCGAGGTGGCGCATCGTCTTGGCCACGCCGTCAGCAACGCTGCCGGGGATCGAGATGGACGGCAGGGCCTGCGAGACACGCGCCAGCGAGCCCAGCGTGGACGAGGCCCGCAGCAGAAGGTCCGCCGACCGGATGCGCGTCAGCGTCGACAGCCGGAGCGGCAGCGAGCCCGTCTGCGGCGTGCCCAGCAGGGAGAGCAGGTGGCCCGCAAAGGTCAGCATCGGCTGCTTGAGGTCCGCGCTCGAGACGCGCGCCACGGCCGGCGGCAGTGACTGCAGATAGACCGTGCCCCATTGCGGGATCAGCCACGACTGTGAATTCCCCGAGCCCGGCTCGGTCCCGACCGTCTGGTTTCCGACGAAGAGCACAAAGTTGATCGTTGGTGCTCCGCCGATGGAAGGCGAGAGCGGCCACTCGGCGGCGTTGATGAAGCTGGCGAGATCGTCCTTGCCCAGCACGTCGGCTTGCGCACCCGGCGTAGCATACAGCTGCACCTGCGTGTCCATTGTGAAGTTGTGAATCGGGCTCAGCACGTCGAGCATGGGCTGCATGTAGTCCTGAATGGCCTTCTCGATGTCCCACGCGTTCGGCACGGCGCCCATTGTGAACAAAGAAAATGTCAGGTGGAACGTAGACGCATAGCGCATCGATCGAGTGGTCCGCTTCGACAAGGACTCGGCCACGTCGGGTGAGAATGCCTTGGACCTCGGCTCCGAGGCGCCGGGAGAGGTCGAGAGCAGGTAGGAGATGATGGACTGCTCCTCGGCGTACGTCGAACGTAGCTCGTTGGCAATGTAGGAGGCAAGCGGGGATGTCGAAGACGAGGCCGATGGAACGGCGCTCGGCGGGTACGTGACGTCGAGAACGGCCGAGTTTGGGTCGAGTGCCGCCGCAGTGGACTGACCAGGCGTCAGGCGGATCGTCAGCGCGAGCTCTTGGCGGCCTTGTCTGTCGGCTGCATCATTGGAGCGTGGGGCTAGCTGCAGTCGTAGGTGGTGGCCGGAGAAGTCGTTGAGGTCGTCGAGCGCATGTTGCGTCTGTCGAAGGAGGTTCTGGGCCTCTTGGTCTTGCAGAGACGACGCCTCAATGGCGATGCTCAGCGGGAAGACAGGGCGACAAGCCTGCGTTGGAGGTTGTCAGCCGACATGGAACCACATGGATTCAGAAGAGCCGTGGCGGAGGACAGACGACTCACCTTGCCGTCAGCCCAATCCAGCATGTCAGACAAGGGCAAGTTAGCCCGGTAAATAGACGTCGTTATCCACCATATTGGCACACCAAAACATAGAGCGATGGCCCAGAAAGAGAGAATGACGAAAGAGCGGCGTCGCACGTCCGAAGCCTTCTCAGGGGGCGGTTCTTTAGGGTTCTCTGGAGAGGTATCTTCGCTCATGGGCCCGGCAGCAGGCGGTGCCACCTCGACAGGTCTCTCATGCAGAGAAAGCGAAGGGTTCTGGATGAGATCGTCTTGGCTGGGTAGTGTCGCGGCCATGGTGACTCGACGGCGCCGTGGGCTGGCTGGTAGAGGGAGCGTACAGAGGCGGGACGCTCGATGCGACTTCTGGCCATTTGACGACTGGAGCCAATGCGACACGAGATCACATGGCGATAATGCAGTGACAGAGACGATAAGCGCTTCACAGGCTTGACAGGGACGGCGAGGCAGTAGCGGCCCCGCTTTCGCCTTCCTCCGCTGACTTGACCAAGGTCCACGTACCTGAACGGGCAAGTACCTGCTTAGATGATAGGTAAGGTAGTAAGGGACGCAAGAGACCCTCCCATCTTTCGCGAAGATCAAATGCACTGCAACTCAGAATGAACGTCAACAAGACCTCTGCCCACAGTCTTTTGTGAATATGGCGTTCTCGGAACAGCACCTCCTCCCGTAACGATCGAGCACGGTACGCCAGGTGGTCCCAAGAAATGACATCCCTCCAGCACCAGGTTTACGGCCTCCGATTAGTGTGGTACGAAGGACGATGGCCTCAGAGCGACAGACAATCTACACGCCAAATCGGATGATCCTGGACAACACAACGCTGCGGCTTCGACTGGCTTACCTCCTATGCACCTTCAGGTCGTCTTGGGGCACCACCATCATCACATGTCCTGCGCTGCAGCGTTTCGTTCCCTTGAGATACCTCGGTGCTACCCCTCTCGTGACCCCAAAGCCAAGCAATCCTGGCGTCCAGGTTACCAACAACTGCAGATCGCCTCGAATGCTGTGCCCGTCGCCGACTTCTTCCCCCTATCTCGGGCTGGAGCTTAGCCCAGTCGCCGAGCGCTTCAAACGCGGAATCTTTTGCTCCATGTCCCAGCGGACACTCGGCTGATCAAAGCGCGCCGTTGGATCTTCTGGGGGACCAGGAACACTCGGACCGGGCCCGAAACCGAATCAACAAGGGCGGAGACGAAGCATACAACGATTCAGATGGGTGCGCTGTTGACTCCTGTCCATCTGGCCACCTTTGATCGCCCGCTTTAGGCTTCTTCAGAGAACTCTCCGCGCGACGTGACATATACCCTCCCCGTTGCGAGCCACTTACTCGATGGAGCAACACGTCGCAGCAAATCACCAACATGGCTCTCTTGAATTCGCTTAGACTCGTCGAACCCCGCTGGCGGTGCCGAGGCTTCCATCCCAAAACGGTGTTCCAAGACCTGCAAGGTCTCCTGGATGGGCTGCGACGGCTGGAAAAAGCTGGGGTACCGCTGCTAGTGTCCTGCAACTCATGTCCCGTCGCCATGCAAGCGGCGCCCAATATAGGATTGCTGGCGAACGTTTGGTGCCAGTAGCGTGCATCAAGTACCACCAGCTGTGCTAGTTGTGCTTCGCCATGGCGTTCGATTGTGGGCACATGTCCACTGATATCCACTCTGCGAAGCTGCTCCTCGGCTGTCGTCACCATCGACTCAACATCAAATGCATTCATGGCCCCAGTAAACGGAATGGAACCCGTCCCTTGACACTAGACTCCCATGCTCGCTCCTAACATTCGGACCTGCCGGCTTTCTTCTCTTCAATCGACTTCCCGTAGCCTATAACTTCGCGACCTCGTCCAATTGCTGTTCACCGGTTCACGTCACTTGGTTCAGCGCGTACTCTTTTCTGACAAAGCTTAGGCCTCTTCGTCCTGTGCCTGGCCGCCAACGTCCCGCGCTTCTGGTAGTCCGTGTCGCCGCCAGACCTTGTCGACGGGATCCAGCCCTTTTACTCACTTGTGGCCGGTCCCCATCAAGGGTGCTTGACGTCGTCTCTCAGACTCTGGGATCAACGCGCAATACACTATGCCTGGTGCGTCCAACCCCCCGAAACGTCAGCACCTAATCTCGCGCCCTACCCAATGGCTGAAGCCTGCATGATGCCAACCTGCTTGATGGCCCCCCTATTCAGCCCCCAGTTTACTGATTGATTACAGTCCCTCTCGCTGTCGCCCTGCCAGCCGCCGCTGCAGGCGCTGCGTACCTGAATGCGCGCATGTCTCTGTGGTACGATGTTCACCTCGTACAATGCGCCCTTCCAGCGACCTTGTCCGCCTTGTGGCGTGAGCGGACTGACCGTCTGAGTCCCTTCTACGTCCTCGAACGCCATGCCCAGAACAAGTCCTCCGCGGACCGTACCTTTATTATTTTCGAGGGCAAGTCATGGACATATGCTCAAGTATATGAAAATGTTCTTCGCTATGGCGCCTGGCTGCGGGAGCGCCATGGTGTCAAGCCTAAAGACATCGTCGCTGTAGACTTCCAAAACTCCGATGTCTTCATCTTCATCTGGTTCGGTCTCTGGTCAATCGGAGCGAAGCCTGCCTTCATGAACTACAACCTCACCGGGAGTGCACTGGCTCATTGCATCAAGACTGCCACGACGTCTTTGGTGCTGGTCGACCCATTGGTTGCCAGCAATGTAAATCAAGAAGTACGCAGCGAACTCGAAGCTGTCACATTCGTGGAGTTCGACCCAACCACACTCGCAGAGATTGCTGCGACCGAACCTAAGAGGTATCCTGATGCCGATCGATCCGAGGACAAGTACCAAAATATCGCCATTCTCATTTTCACTTCCGGCACCACCGGAATGCCCAAGCCTGCCATTGTTTCCTGGGCCAAGTGTATCGTGGGCGGCGTTTTCACATCTCGGTTCATCAGCAACAGCACTAATGATGTCTTCTACACGGTAAGCACGACATGTCCCCTCCCAAACCCCGCGGAAAGCTAACATGTGTGCAGTCCATGCCGCTGTACCACAGCTCGGCTGCCATCCTCGGCTTTGGCAACACTCTAGAGGTCGGTGGCACGATTGCCATTGGGCGTAAGTTTTCGACCAAGACTTTCTGGTCAGATGTACGCACATCGGGCGCCACCATCATTCAGTATGTCGGCGAGACGTGCCGCTATCTCCTCGCCGCTCCGCCACAACTCGACCCCACGACAGGCGAGAACCTCGACAAGAAACACAAGGTCCGAGCAGCATTTGGAAACGGCCTGCGGCCCGACGTATGGAGTCGCTTCCGTGATCGCTTTGGTGTCGACACGATTGGCGAATTCTATGCTGCCACAGAGGGCACCTTTGGCACATGGAATCTTAGCCGAAACGATTTTGCCAAAGGTGCCATCGGCCGGAACGGCTGGATTTACAATGCCGTCATGGGAATGAATCTTGCCATTGTCGAAGTAGATCACGAACAAGGCGCCCCATGGCGAGACCCGAAGACAGGCTTCTGTCGTTCCGCTGGCACGAATGAACCGGGCGAGCTGCTCTGCCGTGTTTCCCCGACGGACATGTCACGTCGCTTCCAAGGCTATTATGGTAACCCAGAGGCAACGCAGAAGAAGGTGTTACGCAGTGTATTCCGAAAGGACGACGCCTGGTTCCGCACCGGTGACATTCTCAAATGGGATGGCGAGGGTCGCCTCTTCTTCAGTGACCGCATAGGAGACACCTTCCGCTGGAAGAGTGAGAACGTCTCGACGCAGGAGGTTAGTGAAGCCATCGGCTCACACCCGGCTGTGCGCGAGGCCAATGTCTACGGCGTTGAGCTACCACACCATGATGGTCGGGCGGGATGTGCGGCACTGGTGCTCGATGAGGGCCGTGGAATCGAGGCGAAGCCAGAAGACGCCCTCCTCAAGAGCTTGGCGGAACATGTTAAGAAGGCGCTGCCGAAGTACGCGTTGCCGCTCTTCCTGAGAGTCATGCCCGACATGGGAATGCAGATGACGGGGACGAACAAGCAGCAGAAGACGGGATTGAGGGGTGAGGGTGTCAAGCCGGGGGCTAGCGATGAGAGTCTAATGTACTGGCTGCAAGGGGATACCTACGTGCCCTTTACAGCACACGATTGGCAGCAGTTGGATGGTGGAAGGGTGAAACTTTGAGCGGGTTCTTGGTTTGGGGAGGGATGATACCTTTTGCTTGATTAAATAGTACTCGGCATCATGGGTTGCCGCTCATTTTGACTGCATCTGTTTCCATGAATCTTTTTCCATGAATCTGTTTCCATTAACAAAGTATTTCGACGATAGTTTGTTTCTTGCGGTGAGCAACCTACTGGGGAAGATTAGACTCGGATTCGTCGCTCAGGGTGGATGAGACATGTGAGTCTATTACGGATGCTTGCAACAGCAGTTGAAAGCTAGCACAGGTCCCGCGGACTGCTGTATGTTCATGGCGGTTTTTCCTACTGCTGACCCGAAATCCTGGCCTGTTGCCGACTCTGAATACAACCTGCATCCATTTCGTAATGGCCCGCGGCACTACATGTACAACCTGGGCCCCGCCACATGTGCCGGTGCCGTGGGAGTCAATTCGTGCATGGCAGGGGAAGTCTCCCGATGGGTACGCAAAGAAAGTCCGCAAATTCATCAGGGAGGCGTACTTTGACATGTTTGACGCGGTAATAGGCCGGCAGCTCCTAAAATATGTCTACCGTGCAGCCCGCTGTGCCAAGCCCTTCAGTCCGGCTACCAATAACGTCCCGGAACTAGGAAGCCTGTTAGCTCGAGGACTAGATACCGGGAATTGTCTGTTCTTATTATCGATCCGCTTTCAAAGGTCCTGGAAGAATAAGTGAAATTGAAGACCTCAGATCACTGGCCATGTGGCTGTAAGACGTTCACCACCCTAACAGCTTATTGATGTTGGGAAACGCTGGGCTTACACGAGTCAGAAATTCGTACCACTACACGAGTCAGAAATTCGTAACACTGAGCGAGACCAGAAGTTTATTTTGGAGTTCCGCTTGCGTTATTAGACTAGGGGATTAGCCGCGTTAGCTTAATGAGCTTGCTGGCTGCAAGAAAGGCAGGATCACAACGAGACATCAGACGATGTTTCGCAACACAACTGACTTCAGACGAGTGAGTCGAGGACATAGAGACCTGTCTCTCGATAAGCCAGACTGGATTGGGCCCGACTTGACAGGCTCCACATCGAACAGCCCTCGTCCGTAGCCTTTGTGTCTTGTCACCGACGTGTACACCCCATCGGGATTATCTATAAACCCCCAGACATCCGAACTAATAACTGGAAATGGAGGGCTACAGTGGAGCCGTGTCCACGAACTGGCCAAAGAAAGGGTTCCGGCTGCCGCTGACGCCACTACGTGAAACCAGCTCCCGAAGTTCGCGCTCCTCCTCTGGCGTGATCTCTACATTTCCAGCAGCAAAGTTCTCTTCCAGATATTTAATATTCTTCGTTCCAGAGATCACAATCACCTTGTGCCATTAGGTCACGAGCCATGCGAGGACGAGCTGGCCTGATGTACAACCCTTGCGTTTGGCAACCTCTTCAAATTTGTCCACGAGGACCAGGTTCTTCCGGAAGTTCTCATCTTGATATCTCTCCAGGTAGAGGCGAACATCGCCGGGCTCAAAGTCGTTTTTGGATCGGTACTTTCCGGTCAAGATGCCTCGTCCCCACGGCGAGTAAGCAACAACAGCCACGCCGAGTTCCCTACAGGTATCGAGCAGGTTTGTCCCTGAGGGACCCTCAATGTCAAGCGTCCAAGGATTGTACTCAATTTGCACCGCTGCTATCGGGTGAACAGCGTGAGCTCTGCGAAGGGTTTCAGAGGAGACCTCCGAAAGGCCGAGATACTTGATCTTTCCTGCTCTGTGCATGCATTGGTATCATCTCAACGCTTCCATCCGAGGGTGTCAAACTCACTGGTGAAGCTCCTTCATGGCCTGGACCGTCTTTTCGATCGCAACGCCGGGGTTCGCGCGGTGCATATACTAAAGGTCGATGCTCTCCACTCCGAGCCGGCGCAGGCTGGTCTCAAAGGACTTCTTGCAATTCTCTGGAGACGAATCCACGAACATGCCTTCTATCCCTTTACCGGAACCCTCAATAGCAAACTTTGTGGCGAGGAATATGTCCTTGCGGCGGTCAGGGTGTAATGTGAACCATTTACCGATCAGGTGCTCATTGTCGCCGTAGCTGATCGCCGTATCCCAGTTGACACAGCCAATCTCCCATGCCCAGTCCAACACTTTGAACCTTTCTTCATCGGAACTGCCACAAGATTTGTTTTGTTTTAATTCCTTGGTGACACACAATATGTAGAACTCACCCTCCAGCGCCATAACCAATACTCAGGCCCATGGCTCCGAACCCGGTGGCTGGAATAGGAGGCCCATCACTCCCGACAGGCTTGCGCAAGGGAGACATGCTGAAGAGTGCTAGACAGGACCACAGATGAATGAAGATTTCGCAGGAGTGGAACACTGCGCCATTGCCACCCAGGCTTATAACGTCCTCACACCACGCCTCTCGACCTCTGCTTGCATACTTCATTGTAACATCGTCTATAACGGGTCGACTCCTCCGTTGAAGTCCGGGATCTCTCCGGGCCTCCTGGTTTGTGACAATACTCGCAGGACAGACTGTTCTTTTGATCGGCACGACGGCCTAATACAGCTACCGTCCGTCTGCTTTTTCCTTACGGCCGGAGCGACATGAACTCCGTCTGTCTCCTGTGCCGCTCGGATGTGGGTGCTGATTCCCAGGCAATGGTTTCCAACATGAACATCCGCTTGGCACTCTTCATGTATTCGATGGTCAGCGGCCAAAATCCTTTGGTGGAAGACGTCATGACAATATGTTACTTCAGCGAATCTTTAGACAGCTGGGAAAGGCACACGCCCATCAAGTCTGAGCTTTCTGTATTCCAATTATCGTGCGTTTAGTGAGTCATGACGACCTTTGGGCTCGGTTTAGGTGTTTTAAGTGAACATAGAACGGATTATGATGTTCGTTGCTGTCTTTGGCCATTCATTAATGGGCCAATGTGATCGAGTTTGCCAATTGGGCATTGACCAGGGTGCCTACAAGTTGTGCAAGGCGTGCATAAATCTCGCAGCCACTCAGGTCGAGTGAGGCTGACAGTGCCATGAGATTACGGAAAGCAATCCTGACTTGTCGAATGCAACATACCTGACGGCAACACGCCTAACGGGCTCCAGAGCATAGTCGTAGAAGCTACGCAGTGCTGTCTACGGGAAGCAGCCACATACGCCAATAGGCACATGAACGATGTCTTTGACGTCTAGCTCAGCTTCGGCCAGGGTTCTTCGATTCCCTCTTGACCCACGCCGGTTTGTGAGCGCTGTTCATCATTGGAGCCTAGAGGCTAACACGCAGCGACAGTTTTCTCCCCTATATTGGGTACCATCATGTCCTCATGATATTTCTCGTCATATCCGTTACCCTGATATCGATCCTTATCGCCGGCTGCACCAGCGATAGTCTCGCCGGGATCTATCTCTTGTCTCTATCCTACGTCAGCAACCCAGAGCCGTCCGCCAGCAACGTTGCCGCATCCATTGCAGAGGTTGCCGCCAATCGCACTTCAATGGAAATCAGGGCAGGGTACATGGGTATGTGCCTCCTGGTCAGCGGCCAGTCGATATGCTCGAAGAACTCGGGCTCTCTTGAGGCATTTGTGCGTCGCGCAACCATTGGGGATGAATCAGGCGACCCGTTGAACCTCATCCATGCAGCGCAGAAGTTCCGTGAGGAGACTGTCTTCGTCGCTCTCTTGTAAGATGTCCTTTAGATAGGCTGCACGAGAGCCGCAGTCCGTGTGCTACAATGTCGTTAACTAGTTCTTCTAAGGTTTATCTCGATTGTCGCCGCCATTGCCGCGATTCTTCTAATGGCCACCTTCCCGGGATGGCACGAGGACAACACAAGCAACGGGTCGGAGAGAGAAGTGAAACCATTTCCTTCCCGGGCAGTCTCGAAAGCTGCACTGGGTTGTCTGGTTGTGTCCTGTGTCCTGACTCTCTTGTCAGGCTTCTGGCAGCATCTATCGAGCTCCTCTGCAACAACCATGGTAAAATTCTTCACGTACGGCGTGGCGACGGGACACGTTGGAGCTGGTGCAATGGCGCTTGGGTGGCTAGCCACGTTCTTTCTCATCGTTGCTTGTATTGGGCTTCTCGTCATGATCCTCTCCATTTCCGTGCTCTCCAATCTGGCCGGATGAGCCTTGTGTCCTAGCTTGCCCAACTACTACCAGACGAAGTTGTAACAGATATCTTTCGGCTCAATGATGTCATGAGCTTATACAACGTGATACCTATGGCTGCCACGACCAGAAGCATGATGAGAACGATCGAGACTGAGGCCTTGATGCCTCCAGCCAGCTTTGACGTCCACACCGGGCCAATCACGGCCGTGAGCACTGCCGCTGCGAGGGCAATGACGATACTGATGTGCCAAAAGCGCCCAAACATCCCACGAAGGCTCCTGAACCATCTAGCTATCCTGTCTACGTTGAAGGCGATGATGATGAGGGGTATAGAAAGCGTGAGGCCGATGGATACTACAATGTCTTTGTGTCAGTCAGATTTTCACAGCTCGCGTGGGGTGACCTTACGTATATATGTGAGCATGTAGCCAAAAGGTATTTTATCGTCTTTATCGCGTCGAAACCCATTGCTGTCGATGGCGAAAATTGCTGCGATGAACGACACGGGCAACTGGTACTATGTCAGCTCTCGTCACGTCAATGTGTATGCACAAAAGAACTCACGAAAATGATTGTAACCACAGTAAAAACAACCACCGTCTTTCCCTGGCGAGCTGTGTCTTTAGCTGACTCTCGCGCATACCACGCCTCGGTCAGACTAGCCTGTTTCTGTTTAAGGTCAACGAGGCGATGCAGCTCGATGAGGGTCAGCATATTCATGTCTCCAAGGCATCGGAAATTGCGCGGTACGGACCGTCTTCTCTGCCTTTGATGCCGCCTGTTCCATCTGTTCGATCCTCTGCAGGTGACTTTCGAGGGTTTTCGTGTTGACGTAAGCAGACACCGAGGCATCCCGGTCAGATTCTCTAAGTGTTCTGTTCATGTCCTGAACCACGCTCTTCTGATCCGTCAACACGAGCTTCAATGTGTGTAATTCATCGAGAATATCATCGAGCTCGATCATCAGTTCCGTCTCGCTAGTGATATCCATGATATCCGCCGTCACAATGCCCTGCTTGAACTCGCTGACCGATCCCTTGAAGTTTCTCAGGTAGTTTGCGACTTTATCGCTCTGAAAACACGAGAAATCAGCATATATAATGAACGCATGCTTCATTCCACTTACCGCTTGACCGATGGAGTTTTCGAAAAAGTCCAAGAAGAGATAATCCTCGCTCACTTGATACGGATCAAACAAGTCAACACAACACGTTGTGATAAGCCCAGCTAGCTCAAAGACCGACTCCACAGCGCTCCGATTCTGCTTCAGAAGGTGCCGGTTGACAATTTGGGAGACATTCAACGGATCGTCAAGTTTAAGCTCAGGCCAGGTACTGTCTGCTATGTTACGCCTCGGTTGGGACGCCCTGGGCTCTTTTGAGCCGTGACCGCCGATCATCATGGGGCGATAGCCCATGGCGCGCTGGCTCACCAACGAGGCGTGAGGGTTGTGAACCATTCCGCTGAACCACTTGATGTAGAATCCGGGCTTCGAGGTCTCTGCAGTAGGCATCTCTGCCTGTCTCGGCCGCTTGGTCTCCCAAGAGCTCCACCGGACGGGGCAGCATGTGATTATCGTGTCTTAAAAGCTGTCAGTGCCTCCCGACTTCATGTCGCGACGTATTTCATACCTTCGCCTAGGATCCACAACCATAACTGGTCCACCATGAAAATCTTGGCCCGGGAATCTTTTGTATATCGATAGACGACCTGATCGTTGTCCCTATTTGAAGATGCTTCGATGTCGGCATATACATATTGGTCCAACGTGCGACGTGGCTGCAGATCAGATGTGCCAGAGTTGAAGTAGCCTCTGAAGAGATGTTCGTGGAGGTTCTTCTGTGGAGGGTCTATGCGAGGGCCTTGTTGTTTTGTCCTCATTCTAGTTTTACGTTCGACTTTGGGTTCGGGTTCTGATTCTTGGCCCTTTCTAGGCGACCCGGACCTTTGTGCTTCAGAATGATTGTCTGAACCAGGCTTGGGGGCGGGTGATTCGTTAGTGTCAGCTGTCATCAAATTATGTGAAGCGTCCGACTGTTGGCCCTCGTTTGGGGAGAATTGGCTGGTTGATGGCGGAGATCGGCGTATAGTATCAGAAAGTGAGCTGCGGTGATCCAGTTTCTGTGGTATGATTCCTCCCTGGGGTGTCGTGACGCTTGGGTCTTGCTGGATGCTGTTATTTCTAGAAGATGGAGCAGCTTGCTCTCCAGCCTGCCCTGGTGATTGTCTCTCTAAGTCATGCGCGACTGTTGATTTGGCGCTCGACCGTGAATTGTGGCGCAGGGCAGTACCAATCTTGCCCAAGGCTGAGTCAACAGCCGCATTGATGCTGCTTAGGGTTGCCGGCCTAGATCGGCTGGCTGGTGCCTCATCTGATGACTTGCGAGTTCGCACGCTGATTGCTGGAGGTATCGGGACGCCCAACTGACCCAGCTGAAGATTCTTGGAGCTATTTGGGCGATCACGAGCTCTCACCAGTGCAGCCTCCACAGCTTGATGTCCGGCAAAGGTTTCGAAATGTAGAAATGGGACCTGGCAAAGGAGATCAGATCACAGTTGCCAGTCTGGCATGCACGGAAAATCTCACGAAAGCGACAATACTGTCAGTATTTCCGGTAAAGCCCTGCTTGGTGAGCTTGGTTTGAGACTTGGTAATAAACGCAGGGTCTGTTTGTCGAAGGGTCACTGACTGGTACTCGACGGCATTGGGATCTCAAGACTGACGTCTTAGATGCTCGCGCTCTAGGTCTGCTGCCTTTTTGATGCCTTGAAAGTTCCATCTCAACCTTTGAATCATCGTACATCTCAGCAGATATACCGCCTTTCTCGGCTGTCAGCCGCCTGATCAGTCCCTGTTTGGAAGTTAATGAGAATTGCGCACGCATATCTGCCTTCAGACGCTTACCTCTACCCATACCATCTGCGAGATTGAATGGAATCAGTATATGTAACCCAGTATCCAACTTTTGCTCACCTACATTATTGGATGGTAAGTGGTACCATGTATAGCTTGGATCGCGGCCATCAAGACGGCTTCGAATGGCGCCTGGACCATGGCTATACAGGAGCTCATATACCGATGCCGTCTTGGGCACCGACTGCTCGTGTTCTTCTCCATTCAAGAAGAAATCTGTAATGATGGCGTTGAAACCCTGGCAAGCGGTCAACTTATCGCGCTCGTGCTCGGCCGGCGTTGGAGGAGGCTTGAGAACTGTGAAAGTGGCCTCCGGCTCGTCTGTCGGCCCAGCCCCTCGTACTTTTGGCCCTTGAAGCACCCTGTCTCCGTTGAGAAGCTCAAGCATTTCGAGATTCCCGTCCGCAAGGTCAAGAGCCGAGAAGCCGCCAGATGCCCACACGCGAATACTGGCCCCGTGCTGAAGCAGGAGCTTGGCAGCTTCGATATTCCCCGCAGCGACAACTCTGAAGAGAGGGGTTGCGCCGTTGAAGTCTCTCAAGTCCACTTTTGCTCTTCGCTCGAGAAGCATCCGCATCATCTCAACGTCGCACAGCTCCGAGGCCAGGTGAAGCGCAGTCGGGGGATCCTCCGAAAGGTAAGCATCGGGATCCGCGCCGCGGTCGAGTAGCAGCCGGGCCACGGCCACGATTTGGCTCCTCACAGCGAAGAACAAAGCATCCTTCTCGTCTGTGCTTAGAGCCTGGATATCCGCTCCATAGTCGAGGAGGAGGCGCACGACATGGACGTTGCCTCGAGACGCCGCTTCATGTAGGGGCATTCTGCCGCCGGCATCTGCATCGGTGAGAGCATGATGGGCTAAGAGGAACCGCACCACCTCGGTTCGCGACTCTTCGATGGCTAGAAATAGGGGCCTTTTACCATCAGGCGTTGTCGCTTCGATGTCGGCATTTGCCTCGACGAGAGCTTCTACAGCCCCGTCATGCTGTGATAAGATGGCCAAGTGCAGTGCGCTGAGTCCGTCCTGGTTTCGAATGTCGACGTCTGTGGTGTAGTATTGCGTCAGGCGCCGCAGGTCCTCGGCATCGGCTGAGGCAGCAGCTTGGAGTAATTGCTCGGTCGACGGTGGATCCGTCGTGCCGGCGGCGGGTGCCTCTCCCTCAGAATCCATTGTCAAGGGCCCTAATAAATCCTGGGGATTCCGTTGGGCAGAATCGAGTCACCAACTGCTTGCAGACATCTATCCTCAGCCAAGATCGATAATTACAACAAAATTTACGGGCAAGACACACGTGATGGGGTCGCTGTGGTTGAGCAGTGGAAAACATAGAATGGCTGGAGAGCAATTTCAGGCTGTGCTGCAGGGGTATGCAACCGAAATGGAACGCCCGCGTCGTGCAGATTGCTGACCCAAAATCACCCCGGTCCCTCTGTATGTGGCACGCTGTTAGCCAAACCCTGACCATTATTGACCTATTCTGGTAGACGCGTACGGCTGAATTGTCTTCTTCGTTTGTGGTTAGTAGATGGAGTTCAAGACAAGAGCCTTGAACTCATAATGGATGCTTAGCCAAGACACGCGAATTCATCCTAGCTTTGTGTTGATGGTGTATTTGAGTACTGCGATGCTTTCATTCACGAAGAACATGGGACAGTCTGGATGTGATTGTGTCAGAGCGTTTGAATAGCAGAGTGCTGCAGGCGATGATCCCAGTCAAGCATTAAGTATGGGATAGAAAATGTCTGAATTTGGGCCCTCCGCAACCCTTGCATACACGCTCGCGCAACCTCGAGCTCCCGAACAAGCCCTCTGGGGCCCGTGGTACTATAGCTCCGCAGAAGCCTTATGAAATACCCTTTATCTCTTTTTGTATATGTTGATTCATAAAGACTATGAGAAGAATGGTACGGTTTGGTCGTCGTTTTATCCTCACGATTTGCCAGAATGTAATAAAAGGCTTGTTGAAATTTCCTTTACTTAATGCCTAGTAACCGGTATACTATGTGTGGGGAGTGTATAACAGAGTCCATCCTTCAGATACAATGGGATGTGATAAACCAGGATCTCCAGGATCTTCGGGATTCAACCTTCAAATGCTTTGGTAACTGCGTCTTCCTCTTTAACAATGGCTCTCTTTGAAAGTCAACACGGACTCTGAGTTTCAATTGGCCTTCCCACCACGTCCAATTAATACCATACTCTTCCTTACAGATAAGAACCTAAATCTTCCTAGACTTTGTCCCGTGTGTGGGCTGGACGGGAGAGGCTCCTTTCCCTTGGTTTAGCTCATTTGGGGCTTGATCAAGTTTATTTCAAATCGACTCGTACGAGAGCGAGTGTCGGGTCCACTTCCACGGTAACGGAAAGTCAAGTAGTATTTCAATAAAAGACAACGAATGCTACACAAGAGTATCAAAAAAAGAGTCAAGGCTTTTGAGTAGGAAGTGCTCGGTGATTAAAAAGTCGTTATGCGGCTTGGTTTAGAATTTGACGCCCGAAGCTCAAATACGCAAGGCGCCAGCCGCTGTAAACAGCCACGGGAGTAGATCTGTAGCTAGCGCCATCGGGATCTCAGAGTGCATTGCACCTTGGTTTCTCGGACCCGGTTCCGTCCCTGTTGCCGCGATAGAGCTCTCTGTATTAGCGGCACTCGCGAAGGTAAATGGCGCAGGACTTCCTCCGATACCACGACTACACGCCAACAACAACACGAGACATATCGTCGTTTAAGCATCGGATTAAGACGCGAGTGCTCATCTCCTCGCCAGAACCATGGCCCCCTTCACTCTTCGTTGGGGCATTGTCGCCACTGGTCTCGTTGCCGAAGGTTCGTCGTCAAGAACACAACTTCTGCTTTTTTAAAGGCACATTCGCCTCGAACGTGGTAATAACTGATAGATTTAGCTTTCGCCAAGGACCTCCAGACTAGCCCCGCAAGCCGCGGCGTCTCCGACGTCGAACACAAAATTGTAGCCGTATCCTCGTCGCGTGACAGCCAAAAAGCGGAAGCTTTTCTCGCGAAGATCAAATGCCCCCCTCATGAAACTAAGACCTATGGCTCGTACGCCGAGCTAGTCGCTGACCCAAACGTCGACATTGTCTACGTAGCGACGCCGCACTCACACCACTTCCAAAACGCCATGCTCGCCATCCAGGCACATAAGAATGTACTCTGCGAAAAGGCCTTGACCGTGACCGCCGAGCAGACTCGCCGCCTTGTCCAAGCCGCCCGTGAGAAGAATGTCTTTCTGATGGAGGCCGTCTGGACGCGCTTCCAACCTGTTAGCGTCAAAGTGCGGGAGCTTATCGCCTCGGGCGAGATCGGCGTCGTTGAGCGTGTTTTTGCCGACGTCTCATTCAACTACTCAGCCGAAGAGGAAGGAAAACTCATATTCCCAGACGCTCATCGCAAGGTAAATCTGGGACTAGCCGGGGGTGCACTGCTCAACTTTGGCACTTACGCCCTTACCTGGGTCTTCCAAGTTCTCTATCATCTCCAGCCTGAGGCTGAAAAAGAGAAGCCCGATACTATTTCCACGATGAACAAGTACTTTACCGGCACTGATGAAAGCACCGTTGTCGTTTGCCGTTTCCCAAAACACAAGACGATCGGCATCGCCACCACGAGCCTCCGTAGCGCCAGCGACCCCTCCGAAACTGGCAAGACCACATCCGTTCGCATACAGGGCTCCAAGGGTGAGATTGCCGTGGCGCATCCTGCTTACTGTCCGACCGGCTACCGAGTCCTCAGGAATAGAGCCCGGGAAGGATCAGAACTGATAGAGTGCCCCTTTCCCAAGGACGACGACCGCGAGGGCTGGGGCCACGGATTCTTCTGGGAGGCGGACGAGGCCGCGAGATGCATTCGCGACGGCAAAAAAGAGAGTTCCATTATACCACTGCATGAGACCATTGCCATCATGGAGGTCATGGACGACGCATTGCGCCAGGGCGGCGTGATGTATCCCGCGCTCATCACAAGTCACGAATTCGATGCGATGAGCCCTCTCAACACGGGTAAGGCTTAGCTAGGAGATGACGATACAGCATCGGATGCATGAGAGCAAGCCTAGGGGTTGACTGGTAGGGCCTCGATCTCCTGGAAGTCAAAAATGTGAAGAAAAGATGCTGCTTTCTGTGGGGATATGTCCCTGGTCGTCTGAAATGGTTAGCGAAGGTACTGTCTGGTTCTGTAAAACGTTGGCGGTCGATCGGTGCATTATCGAGATGATGCAGCTCTTGAATCAGGCACCCGAGTATCAGAGGCTGATTTGTCGTATTTGACAGCGAACCGCAGTGGTGAGTCTGGTATTCGGGCCATGGGCTGCCAGATCAGAACCGTTCCCAAGTTGGTAGTGGATGGCCGAATCAAGGTGTGGTCCTGCACGTGGTGCATAAAGTCGTCTATATTCCTAGCAGTGATACGAAATACCTAGTTAGCTAACCCGATTAGACCCGAGCCATGGGTCGTGGTAGCACAGAGAACCTCTCAGGCACGACGCCTCGACCCAGGGCGGCAATCCAGGGCCCCGAACGAGCATTGTCGTCGACTGGCTGCGATATCGCATGCATGTAACGGCCCCCCAAAACTCTTTCGGGAACCCCCAAAGAGGCGTCAAAGCCAAGCACAAGCGTCGATGATGTGCTGGAGCTTCTGGATGACATAATGGGGCGGGGACGTGGAGGCGTGGCCAATGGCAAGACGTCCGCAGCACGCAATCGGGCGCCATGCCATTTAGGGGTGGCACGCCAGTGGAGGGGCAGGCGAGCTTGAGACGCGGGGCATTCTGCTTGATGCGTGATCCAAGACGAAGGCAATGGACGAGTTGGATGAATGGGCACATCATGGCGAGGCGGCCGAGCAAGTAACCTATGGTGAAGCTGAAGACTATCTGAAAGAAAGGCGTCCCAGAACCGGAAGGGCGCAGCTCGAAGATGACAGTGCCAGGCTCGCGTGCGGGCAAGAACGACCCGGAGGGTTCGACTGATATCATGGAGGGGCAAAATGAGGGGCAGCAGGAGGGTGGAGGGAGGGAGGGCAGGCGCATCCGCCAACACAAGGACTCCCGCGGGTGATGTGACGACGAGAACACAAGGGGACCGTTTCACTGGATAACGATTTCTAATCTCACGCCTGGGCCTCTTGCCTGGTAGGTCAATGACCTGCCTCACCTCAAGGCCAAGGACCGGCCTGAGCTGGCCTGACAGGCACAGGCACAAGCACAGGGACGACGGCGCTAGGGACGGAGGCCGTGTCAGGCCAGAAAGCACGCGAACGGGACGCTGTGAAGGCTGATGTGGCTGTCCTCAATGGATGTTTTTGGGTTATTTAATTGCGCAACCATCCCCCCCCCCTCACGTCTGACTGCTTTTCCTTCCAGTCTTTTGCCTCTCTCGTATACCCCTCCTCTACACCCAAAACCACACCACACTCACACATCCATCACGATGGCTGACTCCCGCCCTGCTCCGTACGTTCCGCTCCCACGCCCCCGCCCCCCGTTGATGCTCACGCTTTCCTTTCCACGAGACACTCGTTTGCTGGGAAGGGACGGCGCTGGCCTCGCCCGCAGCTATGCAGCCATGCAGCCATGCAGCTAACGTTTCTGTGGCAGTCTTCGCCTCGGCAGCGTCGCGCCCAACTTCCAGGCCGAGACGACCAACGGCCCGATCGACTTCCACGAGTTTGTCGGCGACAACTGGGTCGTCTTCTTCTCGCACCCCGAGGATTACACCCCCGTGTGCACGACCGAGCTCGGCGCCTTCGCCAAGCTCGAGCCCGACTTCACCAAGCGCGGCGTCAAGCTGATCGGCCTCTCGGCCAACACGCTCGGCAGCCACGAGGGCTGGATCAAGGACATTGACGAGGTGACGGGCTCGTCCGTCAAGTTCCCCATCATCGCCGACAAGGAGCGCAAGGTCGCCCTCGCCTACGACATGATCGACCACCAGGACGCCACCAACGTCGACGAGAAGGGCACCGCCTTCACCATCCGCTCCGTCTTCATCATCGACCCCAAGAAGACCATCCGCACCATCCTCTCCTACCCCGCCTCCACCGGCCGCAACTCGGCCGAGGTCCTCCGCATCGTCGACTCGCTGCAGACCGGCGACAAGCACAAGATCACCACCCCCATCAACTGGGTCCCCGGTGACGACGTCATTGTCCACCCCGCCGTCAAGAACGAGCAGGCCAAGGAGCTGTTCCCCGAGTTCCGCATCGTCAAGCCCTACCTGCGATTCACCCCTTTGCCCAAGGAGAAGGCGACCGTCGCGTAACTGACCACGAGTGGGCTGCCGTCTGGGGGCGCTTCGTCGGGCCGCCGTGATGGAAACGGAAACAAAGGAACTAGGCCGTGACGGAGCGAGCGCCGCACCAGACGGGCGACGGATGCGCCGGGCAGGGAGCAATGGCATGTTGTGTTGCATACTTTCTAACGTCCTATTATATATCCCCCGATGAGATTGGATGTGCGACGTAACTTGCCGCCTCCCTCCAAGAGAATTGAAAAGCGATGAACCTCCGTGGCTGTTCGCACCGTAATGTGACGTGACGAAAACTATCAAAAAAAAAGTCCAAACTCAAGTAACGCCCTGCGACCCTCGTTGAATGAGAACCCCGCCAATGTCGTGACGTACCAAATCCAGGTCCGGCGGGCGGGTTGGACAGAAACGCAAAAGTTCAGTACGGTGCACCAGCTGAACCCATCGCACGTCGCCAATTTCCATTCGGCTTGGCTTCCCCGGCCGTCGAGGTGCCGCGCCTCACAATCCACGGACGGGCGGGACAGTCAGGGGGCAAGGACCGGCCCGATTACAACGATACTTGCCCGCATCACCACGTAAGAAAAGCGAGTCACGACTGATGAACAGTGAAGAGAGGGATCGCCCGCTCATAGTCGGGGAGAAAGTGAGGCGGAGGTGGAACAGGAGAAGCAGAAGGGGGTGCTCATCCGAAGGGGTATCTCCGTATACCGTTGCCCAGGGCCACGGCCGGGCTACGGCTCCGTACCGAATTTTGAATGTGGCAGGGTTTCGCTCGCGATGCTCCCGCATGCCAGGCCAAGACTTGTCAGGGGCCAGGGACCCAAGGGCCGTGAGGTTTGTTTCCCGCCCATGTTCGTCCAAGTTGTAGGAAAACCCTCCCCAAACCCTGTCTACAGGTCGGTTCTCCTCCTGCGCAGGTGCCTGGCGCGTCCGGTGTACGAAGGAGTGTTCCCTCGCCCAGCGGCATGCGGTGTGCATGCCGCGGGTACGAGACGAGGAGCGGTATCTTGACCCTGTCACCGTGGCTGACTGACTCCAGCCCCCTGCGTCTACGCCGGCCGTCCGTTTGCCTCCAATCCACGTGTGCCCCTGTCTTTCGTGACGGGTTACTGGGCCAGGCGGCCGGGGTCAGGAGGTTGGGCCGTGGATCAGCAGGAGTGCGTAGTCAGCGAGTAATACAGTTGCCATTCAGAAATCGATGTGGGACGGGGCATCTACAATTGCGAGGGCAACAGCAGCTGCCAAGAGCCCATATATCATGTAGGTGAGTACAAAAGGATGACGGAAGAGTTACGCGCGAAAGCGCAGCCATGGACGTGTGACAAGCGATAGTTGACAAATGACAGAACAGGCGAGGCAAAAAAAGGGGAAGAAGGGACCGCTAGAAGGAGGAAGACGGGTTTGAAACGAAACACCATGTGGGCAGCAAAAAAACAGCCAGGGGGGGGGGGGGGGGGCGGACCCGAAATAAAATGGGATGGGGGCGAAATGAAGGGTCCGTCTGATGTTGGGTTCGGTGTGCATTGCGCGAAGGGTGAGGTGCGTCTTTTTCTACCGCAACAAGCCGATTCGGTTGATCGAGATATGCCAGATGCCGTACCTGGCTGGGCCCCTTTCCCTTTCATCTGTACGATCCATGTTCTACCGTCCATGTCTGACCCCTAGCAGCACGGGATGCGTGTGACGACCGCCCAGTGACGGGCGCTTCGCCTGCATACAAATCTCGGATGAGGAAGTCCACACGTCCACTCATATGAGGAGGTGGGCCAGCATCAATCAGATCGGCCAGGTGTCTGCTTGGATGAGCGTGTCGTTGGTCGCAAGAGCGCCAGCCCAGCCCAATGCCCAAAACACGGTGGATGGCTGGCTGGATGGCTGAATGGCTGGATGGCTCAATGTTCATTCGGTTGGTGTCAGTGAAGTTTCCACAAGCTGGACCCGGTGGTCCCTGTTGCTGACTCGATCGCGGATGGTTTGCAAGGTACCTTGATCTCAAAGGCACCTATGTAAGGTGTGTACCTAGGTGGGACAAGGTATACTTTACTACATGGAATGTAATGTACATGGTAGACAGACCTAGGTATATTGTTCGAATACCTATCTGCGAGTGTAACACCTTTCACTTCACCTCCATACTGCGTGCTTCTCTCATGGGAGGTACCGTGCATGTATGCGGAAGGCAGCTTCGTTAGACGGGGGAACAGGCGAACGGTTCTCTCCAGGAAGTACAGGACAACACCGGCCGGACAGTTGGGAATGACAATACTATGCACCCCACCGAAAACGATGCCATTGGTGATGAACAGCATGGGCGCGCCACGCAGAAACAGGCCAGAAGTCATCGAACAAAGGCACAGAGGCAATAGATCAGGAGCTGTCAGGGGTTCTCGTGTTCAGGCGCCGCCCGAGCCACCAAGCCACCGTCGCTTCTGGGGGTGTGTTCCTCGCTGTGAGTGGTCCCCAAACGTGCGGGTACCCCTCGTCTCGGGCTCCTACTATGCCTGCCCTATTGGATTGGATGAATACTTGCCCCTCTTCTTTCCCCGTTTTGCTCGTTCGACTTTCTCATTCGCACCTGCGTGCGCTCGCTCAACCTTCAACCTAAGAAAGTTGTCCTCGCGCAGCCCTGGCAGGCGTACCTGACAGGGTGGATGCAAACCGAGAGCGAGCCAAGTAGAGAGGGGAGTGCGGTACTGTACATGTACGGCAGGTAGCCAGGAGGCGCCGTAAGGCGAGGCAGGTGGATAGACGGACGGACACACATAAGGAGGTGCTCGCTAGCTCCTGACTGCAAAGCAAGGTGGGGTGAAGCTTCCCGGACAACGGACAACGTCGCTTCTTTCAAACACATTTGACCGCCGGACAGTCTGTGCGCGGCCCATGTGCTTTACTGGGAATGAATCGAACACCAGGCACTTCCCATCGTCCTTCCACACTCTCCCCCCTCCCCCCTCCCCCCCATTCTCGACATCGACAGATCGACCGCTTCGTGCCTTGCGCCTCGGACAATCTAGCTCGAAACTTCTTAGGGCCTGCAACGCTGGTGCTGCTGGTGCTGCTGATGCTCCCCAGGTACCTACCTTGCTCTTTCTCTCTCTGTCTCCCCACCCTCTTGACTACCTATCTACCTGCCTTGCCTTACCTTACCACCTGGCCGCTCGCCCCCCCCGCCTGTCCGCATCTTACTCATCCTCACTCACCGCACCCTACCTTGTCGTTACGGCGACCTGGCCGGACCTGACCTGGGGTTTTCGGGGGGTCTCCCTCATCTGGGTGCCTGTACACCATTTTACTTCCACCTGTGCTTACCTAGTTCAGGCCGATGATCCCTCTTCGACACGCG